CAATTTTCGTCTTCAGTGGGAATTGAACTTGTACTCAACCGCTTGGGGGTGCGACAACTTCACCACTTCACTAAGTCGCCACACCCTTTTAATTATATATATATTCATTGAATATTTATTGAATATTTAGTAAAAAAATTAAATATTCGAATATTCAATTTGGTAAAAAAATTATTATTCGAATATTCAAATATTCAATGAATATTCGAATATACTATTCATCGGATCAAACCTCTATATAAAAGGTCATATAAAAGATCCCTTCATATATCAGATCCCCTATGAATTAGACCCAGGTCTATAATATAGGTCAAGGTTTTGGTAAAATATAAAAGACCCGGTATATAAAAATAGAAAAACACTAATGAAACAGAATAAACTCTTTATTTATCAGACCCATACCCATACAAGAGATCTACAGGTCTACTAGAGGTTTTAAAATTGGTGGAATGTAACAGACCTGTGTTTTTTATATGACCTTTTACGGTACTTAAAATCTCATTGCAATTTTGTAATATCCACTGTAAAGAATGAACTATCCTGTTTGGTCAAAAGATTTTAGAGCAAAAATGAAACAAAACTATTACTGTGCTATTAAGATTATTTGTATTGTACGAACTTGTAATTTAAATTTATTAAAAAATAATTATAAGCCAAAGAATAGTTAAATGCATATATGTATATATTTATTAATAAATTAATACTACATATAATAAAATTATATTAAATATTGTTATAACGTATAAATTTTTTTTATTCTGATACAAATATATACTTTAATAACATAACAATTGATTATAAAACAGATTTAATATTTTTTGATAAAGTTTAAATAAAATTTAGTAAATACGATATATCTTACAAGATCCTTGTATATAGGCTTGATGCTGGGAAAAGAAACAAAATTAACAAAAAAATCCCACAAAAAATTAATTATCTTATGAACTATTGATCAAAATTTTATAATTTTAGTACTATTTGATTTATCTTACCAAGATGAATCGATGATACCAAAATTACAGAATTCTAATCAATAATTCATGAGATTATTAATTTTTTGTAAGAGATTTTTTTTTGTCAATTTCATCTTTTCTCACAGTACCAAGCCCATATAATCTTCTTGTTTCACATAATATCCACCATTGTATAACAAAATTTAAACTATATTAAACAAATTTTCTTTTACAATATCTTTTTTGTTTTGGTTCATTGGTAGAAAACTTTTATCTTTGAATAGTTCTTCAGTTTATTTCAAAAATATTAGCTATTTCTTGCTGAATAAATCTTTGTTCTAATCATTAAAGAAACGTTCACCTAATGTTTATTCTTCATGCTTCTAAAATAAAAATAAATAATGATAAAAAAAAAAGTAAAATACAAAAAAACATAATGAACAGAAAACCTATACTTAGTATCATACTTCATATCAAATTTTATATATTTGATATATTAACAAATTCTGCTTGTTTGACTAATCTAAAAAAATTAAAATATCATATAGGTACTTAACCAAAACTACATACAAATACCAAATAACTTTAGCTTGCTATATTTTCAATGCTAAAAAAAAAAAATCTAATTAAAAAAATCGTAATCTTTATAATATAAAATAGTTTTTCTTAATTTTCTTAATATTTTTATAAGATACTCTTCTTTCAAAGATGCATTTTATAGAAAGTTCTTGCTTGTGCATATCTAACAAGCTATTTTTCACGTCAAGATCTTGGAAACTTCAAAAGAATCTTGTGAAAGAAGGCAAAATAATTGCCTATCTTTAAAGAGGCTGCATATTGCTAGGTGATATTAGTTTTTTACATTCTTCATACTGTTCGATTTGTTAAAACCCTGACAACTTATTTGTATGACTAAAACTTTGGATATGAAAATTATATGTATAATAAAAAATTATATATGACATCTTGATCGACTGATACTAGAGAGTAAAAAAATTTTACTTTAGATAATACAAAAATTGCTCAATATAATTAACTACATGTAGTTAATATTTGTGTAATACTGGAGATAAAAAATCTTACTTTAGGTTATACAAAGATCAACCAATAAAATTAAATACTACTAATAGCCTATACATAGTCAATATTCGTATAACTATATAAATTAGTCACTTATATTATTTATATATAAGTTATGAAGTATATTTTTATATTATCTATTTTTTTCAAGTCTTTTTTATGTGTAATCGCTACTTCATTCATTTAAAAAATTTTTCAAATAAATAATTTTTTTCGATAGAAAGACTTATTTGGCTTCATAACTGTGTACAAAATTTGGAATATATATCACACATTCTAGTATAATATTTGTAGTTTATGTAACAATCAAAATGCAAAATATATACTATAATCATGATTTTATAAAGAATATCCAACAATGCCTGTAGTCACTCTAGATGTCATGTAATAATCATTTTATACTATTGCACTAAGGGAATATAGATCTAAATATTCAAGATATATATATAAGTGTATATTTAATAAAATTATAAATAAAAAATATATAATAAAGTTGAGATCTATTGAATTTAGGATTTACAAAAGTATATAAGCACTAATAAACATTTTTGTCCTTTTATTCTACCTTCAAGACATATAAAAAACTATTATAAACTATATATTACTATACTAGTATAGCTATAGACACACATATAGTTAATCTTCTTCTGATATATATTTTCTTAAAATTTTATTATCTTGAACAATTCGTACTTGCACTATATATGATAAAAGAACACAAGAATCATCTAAAAAATTCTGCTCAAATAACTTTTTTGGTTGTCCTTTAGGTTGTTCACGGCTAACAGAATGCTTTAATCATTCATAATTTGTCAAGAAAGTGATGGTTAGGAAATATTTTTTATATTTGGGACAACAAAGACATAGATAGGTTAGTTTGTCAAGAGATGAGCAATATAAATCATATTTAGGAATTTTTAAGTGATTATAATATTCAAGAAAGTAGATTGAATTTACAAAATATTTGTCTTTCCTTTTGGTAACAGGAGCAAAAAAACCACTATTTAATTGAAGAAAATCTATGATTTTACTTGTACAGGGTGGTTCACAATAACTCATATCTGTACATCATTTGATATCAAGAGAGTATTAGTACAAGTTACAATGATTTTTAATCCATAACTATAGAACAAAGCATTTTGCTAAATTATTTTTTTCATCATCTTGATCTTTTTGTTTTTCTTGTTACTTTTGTTTTTTGATTTTTTTTTTTTCCATACTTTCAAATTGCAGATCTTTAAATGGATTAATAGTTTTTTCAACATATTTTGTATTCACCCATTTTCTAAAAATTAAATCACAATTTTAAGCATTACAATGAATATTACCTGTATATCTAAAATTTCAAAGAGCTAACTTCAGATATATCACATTTCCTTATATATCTAAATATTTTCTAAAGTGATCAATTAGTAATATAATACCCACTAACTTGCCAAATAGTATTGCTATACCCCTTTCAACAGAATTGTATTTGGATTGGCTAAGAGCATGTGTTCTAATACTTAAGTAATCTAAGTTAAATTTTTTAAAAAATTGACAATAAATTTTTATATTTTTCAAATATCATAGATTCTCATCTGGCCTTCTATCTACTAATAATACCCAAACAGGTTTAATTTCTCTATTATTAGTCTTTAACATATTATCATATATATTAAGTATCTTGGGTGAAATATTCCAAATCTTGCATATATATAAGTGCAGATATACCAAGAGACCACTGACGATATACAAAAATAGCAAGTTGCCTTGTTCTTAATTCATTATTTGTTTTATTTGGCTTGATTATAAGATATACAAATAGAATTAGTAATTACTTAAACTCTGCTAAAAAATCATGATCCACTACTCTTATAGGCTTATTGATTGACTATAATACATTAAATATCTGATCTACTACAAGCATACCCAAATCTATCTTTGCTTTGTTATTTTGAGAAACGATGACACTCACCTCAGCAAAGAAAAAAGCAAACAGCTTACATATTTAACTGATGCAAAGCAATAGTATCTATTAGAATAGTCTTGTATTTTTGTATATGAAATACTAGCAACTGCAACCCATGCTGAATGGTGGTGTGCTCTTGCTGCAATTGAGTTGGCTTGGCAGAGTAGCAGATAGTTATTCAATGTGGTTCTTGCTATATAAATATTATAATTTTTCTCAAAATTTTTTTTGCAAATATTCAACTATTCGTACTTTAACTCTTTCTTTCTTTTATTTTTTACTAGCTGCTCCAAACTCTATAGAGTCATGAATATGCTTATACAAATTTGGATGCTCAAAAAAAAGTAGAAAATGATCTGGTTTATCATATTGTACTACTTCTTGACTTTCGGTTAGTAATTTTTTTTTTATCTTTGTATTTTTGTATATAATTTGCATTTTTTTTAATTTAGCGATCTTTTCTTTGTTATTTTTAATAATAGTTCAAATATTCTCTATTTTTTCACAAATATTATAGAGAAGCTGGGGATCAGTTGTGATTTTATATATTTGTTCAAATTCTAAAAACTTTTTCTTAGTATTTTTTATTTTATCTGCTGCTCTTTTTTGAGCTAAGGCATTGGCAGGAATTTTTGGTACCGAATATAATAAAGAAACAATAGAAGTAGAAGATAGAGACATGTTTTCTTGAGATATAGAACATCTTAGTTGCATTGTTTGTATATTATAAAGATCAAATAGCATAGCCAAGTAATTTCTAATTATATCATTAATTTCTGTTTTATTTCTATTTTTAACCTTATTTTATTCTTGGGCTGCTTCATGACAAACATCAGCATGGTTAGGAGTACTATTTCCTGTTTTTACCATATAATTATATACATAAATATTAGAAAATTTCTGATATTAATTTGTTGGTGATTTATAAATTAGTTTCTTATCAAATCTTAAGCTAAACAAAAAGAGTTGATGACTTATTTTAATATGGGATATGGGTATCAAAGAGCTACAATTCTGTTTATGTTGAAAATATAACAGATTCTAAGTATCAAGTTTATTTTATTTTATTTGCTTTTATAATTTTTTCTTTGTATCAAAAATTTTAGAGGTTTCACACTACAAATGACTAATATGATAAAACTTATCAAATTTTTTTTTTTTTTTTTTTTTATATTTTCTTGTTAGTTTGCTATATTTATTAATTTATTTTAACTATTTTTACTTTATATGTATGCATCTATTGTGATAATTGTTATCTACTTTCAATGTGGATATGAATTGAAAAGCCTGCTATCAACAAAAATAACAAAGAATCATTACTATAAGATCAGATGATTTTATGGAATCACTTGTTTAATTTGTTAGTTTAGCTTTTTATAGGCTATCTTTGTAAAGCTATTGCATTGTCTTATTTGATACAGGTTTTTCTTAGTCAAGATTATAATTATTAAAGGTAACTGATATAAACATTAGTTAAAGTAATAAAAATAAAGAGCATTATTATATAGATTTAAAGTATAGAATTAATAGAAACAGAAGGAAAAGGTAATTTTGTAAATGCAATATGTTTAAAGTAATATTTTAGTAGAAGGAAATCACACTTGGCAATTGATTTAGAAGATAAAATATAATAATAAGTAATATATAGCTCTGCAGTTGCAATAGCAGTACAAAGACCCTTTTTTTTGGTAATATTTAGGCTTTGCAGCTACAGTAGTAGTGCAAAAATATTTTTGCATTTGGTGACTTTTAGTTTCACAACTGCAGTAGCAATGAGCATTTAGATTCTGCTGCAATAGAAGTGCAAGAGCCCTTTTGTTTGGTGGTATTTAGGCTTCACAGTTGCAGTAGCAATACAAAGACCTTTTTGCTTTTGGTAACATTCAGGCTTCATAGCTATAGTAGCAGTGCAAGGGCCTTAGTATTTAGATTTTGCTGCAGTAGCAGTGCAAGAGCCTTAGCATTTAAATTCTACTGCAGTAGCAATACAAGAACTTTAGTATTTAGGTTCTACTATAGAGTAGTGCAAAAGCTTTAACTATTAGATTCCGTAATTGCAGTAGCAGTACAAGAATTCTCATTAAATACACTTTGGCCTTTGCAATGAAATATCAATACAAAGATCTTTTTGTTAAAATAAGTATCATCCTTACTATTTTATGGGTGACTGCATAATCAGTTTTTTTTTAGCTATATAAAGATCCCTTGGTAGCTTTTCTATATGTTTAGAAATTATAGAATTGTTAGAGGTTGTATTTAAAAAATTTATTACTAATAAGAAGAAAATTTTTTCGATAAATAAAAGTTTAATACTGATAATATATTTGAAGATAGATTTCTTTTTCTTATAATATATGAAGTATAACATTTTATATCTAAAGACAAAAAACTTTGATAGAATATGCTTAATGAAATTTTAATAAAAATATGCGAAACTTTGTAAAGTTAAATATACGATTTTTATTTTTATTTTTATTTTTATTTTTATTTTAATTTTTTTTATTTTAATTTTTTTTTTATTTTAATTTTTTTTTATTTTAATTTTTTTTTTTATTTTAAATTTTTTTTTTATTTTAATTTTTTTTTATTTATCCAATTGTTGGCTATATAATATCAGATTAAAAATATAACTTACAATTTTAATAAGGTTTTTTTGTTTTTTTTGCTTATTATTTTAATTGTATTTTATATATAATGAAAAGCTAATTTAAATTTTTTTTAAGATTTACTAGTTTTTGCAATCTTTATTTTTATTGATTTGCTGATTTCTAGTTTTGTTATATTTTTCCAGTTTCACCACATTTGCAGTTTTACAATTTTATTTTTTTTAGCCAAAATTGAAGTTAGGGTTTTGACTTCACTGGTATAAAACTTCTAGATTTGTTTAACAACTATAACTACTATGTTAAACAAATATTAAATGTTTGATTTTAGCTATCCAAAAGCTATTTTTAAAAAAAAAATTCTCAGATCAATTGAATAAAATAAATTATTTGTTAATGTTAAATATAAAGCTATAAAAATACATATATACAATTTCATAAAAACCTTGATATTTGTTAGAACCATATGTTGAGAAAGTAGAAATAATTCCCTGCTTCTAGATAATACTAATATATACTACAATACAATACTAAATCTACTCTAACCAGAATATCACAATCAATAAAACCAAACCCTAATAGTGATAAAGCAATAATTGAGGTATGAAAAGACTTGGTCTGAATAACCAGAGTTAATTAGGTTCTTAGTAATAGTATCAGATTAAAGCTTTTGATTACATTACAGATTTTTTATACAGAGTCACAGAATTTAGTCACAAATTCAAATTGTAACTATAGATTTTACTTATCAAGTGTTAGTAGAACAAACACTTCTACTTAAAGAATTTACTAATTACAAGTTAAATATTCTTATTTCTTTAACTTGGAACTCTTTAGAGCTAAATAGCTAGCTGCTTTATTACAGTATTAAAATCATTCTTTTTATAGCTTTTATATTATTATTACTTACAAGTCAAACTTATTCACTAAATATACTTAATCTACTTAATTCACTAAGTTCAATTAGTTTGACAAGTTTGATAAGTTCATGAAGTTCGATTAAGTCATATAAGTCAAAGAAGTTTGATAAGTCAAACTTTTGTAACTTGATGGTTTTTTTGCTTTTACTTTCTTTAGTTAGATTCGATTTGAGCTACTTCAGCATACAAAATAAGCTAATATGCACCTGATTGGTTAAATTTAATATGTATTCAATTCTCTCAATATAGAAAATTCTATTACTAGTCATTATTTTCCTTTTTATAACATACAATTCTATAAAAAACAGTATAGAAGATAGTATATATAGTACAATTCTGGCAGTATACACAATCATGTAAAAATCTTGATTTTTGTTAATACAATTTTTGTAGTTTACTTTACTCGATTATACACCACAACTATTTATAATACCATGTTTTGAATGTTATTGTTGGAATTTAAAATATAGCATATTGTGTAATTTATTAATTTATTTTATTTATATATAGTATATATATAGTTTTATTGTTTATTTATTAAATTATATAAGATTATTTATAAGTATTTTTTATTAGCTATTGGATATCTTACCTGGGGTAGGGGTAGATGTTTATAATTAAATAATATTAGATAATAAATGTTAGTACTCTAATTATAATTTTTTTTAATAGTAATTTAGTAATTATATACCTGATATATATATATATATATATATATATTTTTTTTCAACTATTTAGTTAATTTTAATTTTCTTTTTCTTTGAAATTTCTTCAGCTTGAATTATTTTTTTGGTTTTGGTTGTTTTTAATTCTGAATATATTTAACTATCATCTATTCTTCTTACTAAATAGGTTTCGATCTTACTCTTTAATATTTCTTTGACTTAAATTATTTTTTTAGCTTTAGGTGATTACTATATACTGTTGGTTGTTTCAATTCTAAATATATTTAACTATCATCTATTCTTTCTTACCAGGTGGTTTTGACCTTACTCTTTGATATTTTTTTTAACTTGAATTATTTTTCTAGCTTTGAGTGATCACTGTATATTGTTGATTGTTTTGAGTCTAAATATATTTAACTACTACCTATTATTTTTTTACTAGATGAATTTTGATCTTACTCTTTAATGTTTCTTCAGCTTGAATTATTTTTTTGGCTTTAGATGATTACTATATATTGTTAGTTGTTGTCGATTCTAAATATATTTAATTACTGTCTATTTATTTTTTACTAGGTAGATTTTAATCTTTCTCTTTAACGTTTCTTTGGCTTGAATTATTTTTTTAACTTTGGGTGATCACTATCACAGGTCAAATGAAAACATATCGGCAGATGAAATTCTAGATAACAATCGGAGACAAATTGGGTTTATATAGAATTTTAAAATTTTTAGCTTAATCAAAAACCTATCAATAATACCAATATTAATATGATATTGTTTGTATATTATACCAATTTTTTGATAAACTACAGAAAGAAATAGGTCTAATATCGGTTTAATCGATATTTATTTGTTATTAATTCGATATTAATTCAAGTTTTCTAATTAATCTAAAAATAGTTTAGTATAATATCGGCATTCTAATATTTATTTGAAATTATTCCGATATTTATTGAAATAACGTTGATATTTATTTATATAAACGTTAATTTAAAATTTTTCAAATATTTGTATTAACTGCTATACTATTTTCAGTTAATATCAGCAATTCTGATATTGCTACATACGTACTAAATTCATATAAAATATTCGAATTAGGGTTTAATAGAAATAGCTAATGATTTTTCTTTTTTGAAAAATATTAAAAACACAATATAGCTATTAGTTAATCTAAAATGCTATATATACAATTATTGTGTTTGATTTATTAGTTATATAAAAATTTTGATACATAAAATCATACACCATGAAAGTAATATAAAATTATTATTATATATAAAATTTTTTATTAACGGTATTACTGATATATATTCTATCGGGTTTTTCTTCTCAACTTTAACAGTGCCAGAAATGAACCGATCTAAAATATTGTAAATAGGAATTATACAATCTCTACTTATATTATAAAAGTTCTGATTCTACAATTTGATATTGCAAATATCATCTACTTAGCAATAATACCTAATTTTATGGTTATCAACAGGTTTAAACCAACAAACAAATGCTAATACATGCTTTTTTAGTACTTCTGGTAGCTATACCACATGTTTAAAATAGAATTGAACAATTCTAAAATATATGTTAGTAGATCTATTGGCTAATATAAATTTGGCTAGAATTTTTGTCAACCTTTTTTGTTTTGCTGCAGATGTTGAACCAAAAATTTCATTACCAATTTTTAC